TGTATATTGTCTAAACGAAGCTTAGATATGTCAAGTGTATCTTCAAAATTGGTTTTTCACACTATCAAATTAAGTACTTTTGATGATGTTGCACGTTCCCATTAATTTACAGGAACTACAGAGTATACTATCGTGAAGTTGTAATACATGTAGGTCAATACCGCCATCTGATTTGATTACGAAATGGTGTTTTTGTTCGTAAACAAATACATACAGTACATGTACTGTATGAACTGTATGTATTTGTTTACGTACAAATGCATCATTGATGCATATACTTTTTGGACATGGTCTGGTTGCTCTATCTGGCGCTATGCTGCGAAGTAAATCTCTCGATTGATGTCATCACTTAAAAAATCTATGATTCTTTTGTATGTATTTACTCACGAGTATTAAAAAAAAAAAAACGGGTACCGTATTTGAGATCTCCTACATCAGACCTTAAATTCTTGAAATTGTTGTGTTGTAATGTGGACACGAGATGAACATGTACCGACGCATTTATGTATAGTTCATCTTCTATTCAGATCATCTGAGCCTTTGACATTGTCATCGTAAAAATGTATTTTTAGTTCCTTAGACACAATAGCATCATAGAACTCGACGACATCACGCTTGTGATGATACGTAATAGCGACTCTCTTGAACTGCTTTGGTGGGTTTCCGTTGTCCTTCGTCCGTGTCCTCCCTATTTGCTGCCCCGGAGTCCGCTTTCGAGGTCTGGGACTGCGCCGAGTGCGCGTCATGGCGGGTTTCTTGCAATGGATGGCGGTGATGAGGGGCGGTCCTTTGTAGCACATCGCATAGTTTTTTACACTCTGAAGTAGATCTAACCTGCCGAGCTGGCGGATCTAAGCGAATTGATTGGTTAAAGCTCGGTCTGAATTAGGAGATCTCTCTAAAGTAGGAGATCTCAAATACGGTAAGTAATTTGACGCATGCCTCTATAAATGTACATATTAGCTCGGTTGTAAACTCGATTAACCCTTCTTATACGAGCATTACGGATTATCCGGAATGTAATTTCAAAGATGAAATTGTTCCGCATTGTCCGCAACAGATTTGGAGCACTAGAAATCCGCATATTGATATTTGTATCGGATAAATTTTAGCTGGCCAACTGTAGCAGCTCCGACCGATGGGACATGAAATATTTAGAAAGTGGATAGGGTTGTAGATATAAGAATCGCCGGGGATATTTATCAGGAGAATGATACAACGAACGATCACTTTATCAGAAGAAGATACAATGAATCCGATTGGCCAGAATAAAACGGCGAGGTCTCTCTATATTTGCACTAGTTAAAATTAATCCTGTTTGGGTACTCATTCTGAGGTATTCCCAGTATAAACCTTTTGTTAGTACGAAGGTTGGTAGAAAAACCAACAACTGCAGACATAAGCTTTCGCCGGTTAGGATGAGTTCCTCAGAGGGTAAGGTGCACAAGTTTGATCTGAAACCTCGCTTTGGATATGCAGAACCTGAGCAGCACATACACTTTGTGAGTTTGGAGACGGCAGGTTCTTATATCAAACACTACGCCTTTAACATCAACAAAAAGTCGAGAGGAAGAAAGGAGGTGGTGGAACCCACGTAAAATGGCTGTGTTCTGAGCACAAAAACGGTTGTAACTGGTTCATAGCTTTGTCACGCAAACGTCAATCGAAAATTACTGAAGAAGCGACCATGCAGCGGCGGAAAAAGCCTACAAGTAAACTCTCACATATTCCAAGTGGATCATGATATATCTCTAAAATGGAGCTAAACCACGCGCAACTTTGCCCTGGGATTGCTGTAATGACTACTGAGTTTCTGTTGGAGCATCCTGGTTTTCGTGGAGCTATTCTTCCTGGTCATAGCACTTCACTAGCGCGGGTAGTAAAGACAATGAGTGAAATTCACGGTATCGACATTTCCAAGCAACCTGCAATGGCCTGCCGTTCCATTACACAAGCAAAAAA